CACCTCACATACTATTTCTCATTGTCAATATGTTGTTATTCAGTAGATTTTAATAATTTTGTTTCTCCCTTGAGTGTAAAAAAAAAGAAGGAAAAAAAGACCTCAATCATCTTGTCCCGCCTTCTTTTCTTTATACTAACATACTAATATATATATCTGTGTCCAGACAGAGAATTATATCATTTTTATGTATCACTGGTATTATTACTGTTATTATAACCATTATTATTATTATTATTATTATTATTATTATTATTATTATTATTATTATTATTATTATTATTATAACTGTTTATCATCGATCAGGTGAGCGGTGAAAGAGATGGGGGTAGGGTGAGGTGAGCTGGGTAGGGGGGAGACAAATTAAACAAGAGCAGTTTTCTGAGGTTGTCGTTTAGTTTTGGTAAGTATCGATTAAAAAATTTTGAATATATATATATATATATATATATATATATATATATATATATATATATAATTTTTGTCTTTTTCTTGTTGTGTGTGGTAATCTATTCAAACGTGAAACATTACAGAGAATTATTGCTTAGCTCATGTCTTTCTTTTCTCAAGTATATGAGATGAGATCTAATAATTAAAAATAATAATGTTATTAATGATAATACTAACTGGTTGGTAGATAAATGGATAACTGTTTTAGATAGATAGGTATATATATATATATATTATTTAATCCACCCCATCTGGGTGTTTACTTATTGTAGAGTTTAAGGAGAGAAGCAGAACGAAAGACAGAGAATTTAACTTAATGCTACACAAAACCTTTAATTAAGTACTGTCAAGTTTAATATGGTCTTAAGTAATCTTCTACAAGAAAAGACTGATACATTAGAATATATATGTGTTAGTAATTACTTCTCTAATATTACAAACGTTGGATAAGAATATTATGTAGGCATTCATATTCATCAATGGCTAACATATATATATATACACACACCGACGTATGTATATATACTAGTTCATAGTAGAAAGAAAATTAGTTAGTCGTTTTCAAGAGTACACAACAATTTGGTTGTACGTTGATATTTAAAGAAATGATATAGGGGAATTAGGTTATAAATAAATTAGACTGGGCAGTGATGTGAATATTCATTTTATAAATCTTAATTAAATTCAAATAACTTTTATGGTCTATTCAATCGTAACTTATTAATTTAATGAATAAATAATCCAGTCAGTTAACAAACAGCAGATAAATAATTAACTGACTATATGTATATATATACAGTATTATAGTAGATTTTTAGAAATTATTCAGTTTGTTGATTCAATAAAGAACTGACTTTCATTTAAACCATCACTGAAACTCAAGGACCATTGGATAATGGTCTTATCTTAGTACTTAATTAATCAGTAGTGTACAACCATGACCCCTCCCCATCAGTGATCAAACTAAGGGTTAGTCTCACCTCTATGTAGAACACTGAACTGCAAATGATCTCTTTGGTTGGTTTTATGCATGTAATTAAAAACTCTTCAATATAATGAGTTTTATGGGAAATGTATGTCTATAGAAGGATAGGAGGGATTGTAACACAAATATGGATTCGAGAAGAAATTACAAATGAGTTTTATATAATGAACAATATTTGTGAAGACAATTTACATAGAATAATGAATATTATCTAAAGTATAGACATTCCATCTTGATTTTTCATTCGTTTGTATCTCCGACTCTTACATTGAATTGAATCCTGAAACTGTGAATTCTCTTACCGATATTTGAAAGGATAGTATCCAAATGCTTATAATACATAGCTTGGTCATAATAAATGATTACAGATAATTGGTTGTAATTAGTTTATTGATTTTACATGTCAAGATTAATTATATGCATAAGATTTGTGATATCTACGTCAAGCTGATCAATAATATAAGATGGATTTTTATTCACTGACCAATGGTCAATGACTACCTATAATCAAAAGTATTTCCAAACTATGTGATCAGACAGAAAGTCGGTGATTTACTGATCTTATCAAGATGTCTATTTTTAACAAACATTCCATGCATTCTGATCCATTAATAAATTTAAATAAAATGATTCACTTGCTAATAAAATTTACTGAAGAATGATTGTTAAAGTGAAATCAAGAAAAGTGCAAATAGATGGTATATAATGGGCTTAAGCAATAGCGTCCCGCTTGAACATCTAGGCTACCTTTCCCTGCCATCTAGATATTCCAACAAGTTATCTAATTTTGTTTGTCTTAATACATTATTATGGCTATTAATCGTATAATCTATTCAGGTGCGTTAGTGAAAAGTGTACTACATTTCGTTGTATGAGTTACAAAAAGCCCAATCAGAGATATCGTGGTTGCTGGCAATATGCAGCGAAAAGATATATAAACAGATATCGATTGACTGGACTGCTATCATCTAACTAGCGATCACTCAATATTTATCGTCAGAATCAACTAAGAAGTAAGAAACACAAAATTATTGAAATACTTTGTTCTGAGAATTCTAGATCTTACCAAAAATATAATATTGAATAAAGATTATAATAATAATAATCTGATTAGTATAGGCTAGTGTTATCCTGTTGTTAATATTCGGGATCGAATTTTGACCAGTGTCTTATAGTAAAGATCTAATGTGAATGGACGTCTTCTATATAGACATTCTGAAACAAGTATTAAAACGCATCGATTGTATTTAGTAATGTTTCGTTCTAGTCACAATCAATATATGTTTTAAATAATATTTGATCTGTATTAAAAACGTAATTATAGTATTACGAAATAAGTAGTACCATGGTGTGTGCAACTGATGTCGACAGATATAAGTAGTATGTATCACCAGTCGAAATTGGAATGCCTGGAGGCAGAAGGTTGAGAAGATTGAAGAGAAGAGAACGAGTACCAAGAGTGATTGGTATGGAAACGACGGAACAACAAAGTATGAGGCAATCGATGAATAGTTTGCAAATGAAGTATTTACTGTATGGTTCTCAGATTTTACCGAGATATTCTTTGATGTTTTATTAAAATACATTTGATTATCCCCGCCTATGTTCTAGCTCACTACATTGCAATAAAAATTTGAAGAACAAAATCGGCTAATAATCCACTAAAAGTCAATGAACTCTGTAGTGGTTTATTAGCTCTCACCAACAATCTAATATGGCATAGACCCATATGAGCTTACGGTATATCATTTGGACATTCGTTCTATTATTCTGATGAACTGGTTGGATTTTGGGAAAGAATATAAACTAAGAGATTAAGATTAAATTATCTAAATAGTTATGTGTTTATCCAGAAAAAGTGATATTTTGGATAATAATACTTTCTGACTAATCTCTTTTTTTTAAAAATATGTCCACAAAATGCGATATAATACGTATCTGTGGTTCTTTAACTCTTGTGAAATAAGGAATATCAGTCTCGCGGGCGATCGCTCAACCTCCAGACCACTGAGCCGGCATCCAACGGTGTTAATGTTTAACTTCAACCAATCCACGAAATCGAGCCACCGTACACCATTGTCTTCAGTGAGTTAGTATATCACAACAGACTCGGTTGAACTCCACTGGTCACGGCTTCTCACTAGAACCCCGGGAAATACCTCTTGAAGTCAGTCATTAGTGAGCTGATGATTATTACCAGAAGGGGGGTTTTGTGGAGGTCTTAGTAATTTCAATAGTTGAAATCATGAGTCACTTGAAGCTAGACCGCCATGGAAAACCTGAAAACACTGGACGACAGTTCTATTCTAGATTATTACTCCTCAGCAATGCGCATCGACTATCCTGCCCCGCGAGATTCGAACGAAAGGCGTATCAGTCTCGCGCATATTTGTAGCAGAAACTTAGTTACAAGTTTTAACTAAGCTTATACATCGTATAAAATTACTCCAGGAATTTAAGTTTCCGTACGATTTTTGGTGACAGATTTTTATTCGAAACAATTTACTATCTCATTGGCTAATAGGGTCACTTTTCGTATAGTTCCAGATTAGTAGCTTGATTTGGTTTTATTTATTGTACTTTATACATAACCCAGGAACCAAAGCCCTAAAGGTGACCATTTAAACTTAAAACCATCAAATAGGCGTCCAATGATACATATTTTGAATTACGCTAACATGCGATATAGCTGACCAGTATTTAATGGCAGTGTCTTACGCCCAACATAGTTGTAAATAATTGTTCACCTCTTGTCAATAGAACCGTAGGTATTCCTCTTCGAAGTTACAGCCTAGTGAGCACGTGAATATTATTATTATTATTACTATTGCTATCATTATTCTTATTCGTAGTAGTAATAATAATAGCAGTATAAATCGTCAAAGTAGTATTTGTCACAGTAAAACTTGCGTTGCGATTACATACGATAATATTCCATTAAAATAAACAAAGCCGTTCAATTTTTTTATATTAGATGGATTGCTGCTAGTAGTGAGTCTTGGATGGGTGTTTCTTTCAATTTGACACTCGTCATCTGAATGTACTCGGACCTAGTACTTTTCGATCCCACTGAGCTACTTTGTCCAGATAGTTACTAATATATTCAACAAACATTCGAGCTCTTACTAATAATAATATAAATCCGTCAAAGTATTACAAATAAATATCACATAAGTGTGAATCAGATTAATTAATTATTTATTTTAAATACATACATGGATAGATAAAAAGGAGGAATAAATGTAACTACTATAAAGAAAAACGCTAACATAAATTATTACACTTGTTATGTATAACCACGAAGATAGGATAGGATAGTGTGAGAAAGATTGAGTGAGAGGAAAAGGCCTGAAACTAAAACAGTTCAACTGTTCAAGTCAAAATATTGTCAATTTCGAATACACATACAGACACACACACACACACATTTTATCTAACCTCTACACGCATAAACATTGGAATGTGTATAAATATGTATAAAGAGATTGACACATGATTTGTATACAATATTTCTAAAAGAAAAACAAAAAACAGTTTAGATCCATAAATCTATTTCTGAGTAGTACTAATAAGTAGTAGTAGTAGTAGTAGTAGTGGTAGTAGTAGTAGTAGTGGTAGTAGTAGTAGTAGTAGTAGTAGTAGTAGTAGTAGTAGTAGTAGTAGTAGTAGTAGTAGTAGTAGTAGTAGTAGTAGTAGTAGTAGTAGTAGTAGTAGTAGTAGTAGTAGTAGTATTAATAAAGACTTTGTTTTTTGAATAAATATATATAAGGTTATATTACTGAATGTATTTTCATTCACTACTTGTAATATATCTATATACCCATATATTGTTTGTCTGTGCATTTCCAAGTGCCTGGATGTGTTTACGCAATATATAGATAAATATATGTTAATTACATCATAGATATAAACAGATGAATCAAGTAATCAGAGTCCATATTACATGTACATTTTATTAGTGTATGTATAAATGAAATGAGTGATATTAAATATAAAATAGAATTATCATGAATATATATATATATTAATTAGACTAGTAATATATAAAGAGATGGATAGATGGAGAAATAAATAACATATTAATTAACAAGCGTAGTTTGGCGCCAACCAATTTAAATTAAGAATTGTATTCCGTAAACAAGCAAATAAACAAACAAACGAACAAACGAAATACACCATGGAACAATGACAATAATAATAACAAAGAAAGTCAATAGTGTTTAATAAACATGTTTGGTTTTGTTTTGGTTCTTTTTTATATTTGAAAATGTACTACTGTACTACTACGTATATGTACGTGTGTAAAACGGAGTCTCTGTAAAATTGTACATGTTTTCATTATTATTAACTATCTGCATAATAAGTAAACCCCATTGTAAATCCAATGTAATATGAATGTAACTGAGATTTTTTTTTAAAATCAATATATTTTGTATATGTGTAATTAATACATTCCATCGAATCCAATAAGATCTTGATTCGTTGTTTAATGTTGAAATGAATAGTTCTTGTAAATCAATCAAGTGGAAAATGGATAGACATTTGTTTTTTGTGAATTACACTAGTGTAAATCAGATGATGTAGAAGTAAAGAGAGGGAGAGATTATTATGTCATTTGTTGAATAATATTTTCAGATTGAATTCATTTGTTTTTATTTGTAAATTCTTCATGGACACCGGTTATGAATTAGTTTCAAGCTGGAATGAAGAAATAATGAAACAATAATCATGAAATAAAATAATTAATATAGTGAAGGAGAAGGGCTACTGACTTAAATCAGTAAGACAGTCAGTGAAAACTAGGAAGCATTGAACAATTGTTTCGTACTACTATCAGTTTGAGTCAGTGACATTGAAAAATGATTGCTCACTATGATGAATTGATTAAAATTTGAATATAAATATTAGGTGCTCACTTTGTGTTTCTATTGGTTAATCACTAGTCATGAGGCTCTAAGTTCCAGAGTTCACTCTTCGGTGTAGCTGTGTATGTTCACTGATGAAGAGTCACAAATGTGAACAAAACAGCTCTCTAATCCTCTATAATTATACTTTAATTGAAATTAGTCTATGGAAAATCTAACTTATAAACTGAACTGACCTCCAGCGAACCTTTTTACCTGAAATGTCAATTATTTCGTCAGTTATGTATGATGTTGTAAGCAGAGTTGTGTTTAAGTATTATCCACTAATCTACTATGATTTAATATATCTCTACTTGTTCAGAGGAGATGATATGAAAAATATGCCTAAAATTAACGGCTAACAAGTTGGGTATTTGTTGAGTCGGCTTTCGGAGAACTTCAACAAAGCCTTTAGAGGCCCAGAAGGAGCCGAAGAGTCCTAGCCAACCAGAGCACGATGGAGCATTCTAGAATTCCAACGTGGCTTGCTACTATTGGTCAGTAGCACAAAATATCGTTAACGGATTGGCCGAAATATGATGTTGATTTAAGAAACGTTAACATCTATAAATACCCATGTTTTCTGTACAAAAACGAACCTTGGAGTAAAGTGTCTCTCTCTTACTTTGCGTCTTCTTTATGGTGTTCAGGTCGCTGTATAGTTCTAGCGTGAGGGTTATCAGAATAGCTTAGGGACGAATATAGCGTCCAATCAGCAAGACCTAACAGTATTGTTCAAGATAGTATAGTATAATCATTTACATATAAGGAGAAACATAATTAGAAGTTTGAAGAAAACGAAGGATTTCTTATTTTAAATAATAGGTGAAAATGAATAATGATTCTTGTAAGTTTAGATTTAACCACAAAATACCTTATCAATTAGATAGCGAACATAATTATTCCAATATTAAACATCAATCTAAATGACTGTAGATAATTGTAATACTGAAGGTTATTCATTAACATTAATTTTTTACTACAGTAATTATCCAAAAACAAAAATATATAGTATCTCAAGCTTTAGTAACAGTGTTTGGATTTAGAAATTAGTTATGCATATATATAATAAAACAAAACATATGTACTGAACAAATAATGGTAATCTGAACTTCGTTATGCAAAGGGTTTAAAGTAAAAGGTTATGGGTTCATGCCTCAGTGTGAACATCAACATAGATACAAGTATATCTTACTGGTAAGTCTTCGAATAGGAATAAATACATGACCCAGTTAACATTGTTAACTATGGTCGATATATTCTAAAAAAATTTCATGTTTAATAAATATACTACTTATTGAAATAAGTGCTTTAATGAGAGGTTTATTTAATTGCAATATTGATTTATAAAATTGATATTTAATCAGTGGATTTTAACCTACATAGATGGTTAGTCTGTTGTTAATATTCATTGGTAAATAGTCTAAAAATTTTCAATGAGAACATCTACAAGAAGCAAGATAATGTAAACTTCATAATTCAATGAGGAATTTAACATATACTGTAATGGATAGATCATAACAGAATGCAAATGAGATTGGATGGTGGTTGGAGGTAGTCGGTAGGAAACCCTGGACCCGGGTTTCGTGCTACTTGGCACTCGTCGGCAAGATGTACCTGGTGTACCACAGTGTCGAGTCACCTAGACTGGTGGCCACATTGCAACATGGTCGATAGCGTTCGATCTGCACTAAATAAGGACTTGACACACATGACATTGATCACCACCCAGTGATCAATCAATTGTGAGAATGCAAATGAACACAGTCAGTGCTTACTTCGAGCTGAAGTGAACTGTTTTTTTTAAAATTAGTTTACAAATGTTAAATATTAATATTTGTCTTAGTGGAGTTTCAAAATGTCTGAAATGAAGTAGTCTTCATCAATCAGATTGGATAATTGTAGACTGTGTCACTAGAACAAATCAACAATTAATCTTTATTGAGTGATCAAATATCTTAGCCTTAAAATTAAATTAGATGCTGTTTATGTCGTTCAAAATCGAAAAGGAAATTCATGGATTTCAAAAAAATAATAATACAATTTCACTAAAGTGCTAATATAAATATGCTTTATTACATTCTATCATGATTTATTAACAGTACATCTTGGGAAAAATGGCCTCAATATTGTAGTCAGTCACAAAAATTCTTCTGAAGTCTGATATTGACTGAGAATGGATTTCAAGATGTACATTTCATTCTATTTAAAACTTATCAGTTTGACATATCTGTATCCTAGTGTTCATGATAGAACATGAACTCGAACCCAATACCTTTTGTTTCAAATATCGATATTATTCACTTAGACTTTCTAAGTGAACATCAACATTATAGTACAGATAAAGCTCATTGATGTATTTTGAATTTTATTGTTAATCACATTACTTAACTCTTTTTAAGAAACTATATTTATTTAAGCTAGAAATCTTCATTTTACAAAATAAAATATTTAACGACTATGTCTCAGTAACAATTTTAATTATCAATATTATTTGTTTATAATATTGAGAGTAACTTTTTTTTCAAAAAAAAAAAGAAGAAAAAACGAAAAGAAAAAAAAGAAAAGAAAACTCATCCATAATGTAACAATTTACTCATTAATCTCAAAAAAGAAAAAAAGAGAAAAAAGTTACTGAAATGAAAAATAGTTATTTATTTATTTATTTATTTTAGTTGACAAACCTTTCTCCTTTTTTTTATTCATCAACCAACCTCATCATCATATATAATACACTAGTTCCATATATCAATTTTATTATTCGTTAATTTCATTGATATGGAATTGTGTTTTTCTTTTCTTTCTTTTTCTTTTCTTTTTTTAATTTTTTTTTTAATTTGATGGTGTAAACAAGCAGTTACAGTGAGAAATCGTTTATACAGTTTTTTTTCTTTTTTTTTTAGAAAAAAATAATAATTATTTATTTTATATTATTTTGCGTGATTGTAGGATATAAATCAATATTAGAGTAAGTTCTCATATATATACTATTTATTCATGATAAACCAATTGTTTATAACCTGTCAACTAAGAGAATTCCCATTATTTAATTAATAGATTAGGCAGAAAAGAAATAGATAACTTTCATTAATGAGTATTATCATAGAGAGAATTAGTGATCTAGTGGTTAAACGTTCGCACACGAAATTGATAAATCCCTGATTTGAATCTCACGAGGTAGGATCGTGGATTAGCACTGCTAAGGAGTCCCAAACCAGGACGAAACGGGCGTTCAATGCTTCAAGGTTTTTCATGGTGGTCTGGCTTCAATTGACTCATGATCTCAACTATTGAAATTACTAATGATATTTACAAATACTGTTTTAATATGAATTAGTGAATTGTAAATGAAGAGGTTTTATGTAGACTATATTTAATTTGTAAGCAATATACGTCATGTAGGGCATTAATTGCGAACTATGAAATACTAGATAACTGTTTCTTCTTGATATAGTATTACTAGTTATTATGTGTCTAAAACTCTATAGGAGTTAAACTTAGGACTTTCAGCTATTACGGTGAACCCTTAAGAATTGTTTTTTGAGGTGTAAAACAACAGTTATGATACATTTCATACATATCCGTTTCGTTAACCGGATACTATCAGCGACAGCCTATTGTGGGAAAGAATAAATCAGCTTCAAACTGAGGAGGAAATTAAGAAAAGACATTAGAAGTGAATAGGACATATATTGAATAAAAGTCATCGAACTACATCACAAAACAAATGCTAACTTGGAATCTTGAAGGGAACCAGAAAAGAGAAAGGCTGAAGAATATACTGTGTCACGAATTGGAAGCAGATATGAAAAAGGATGAATAACAACTGTAAAGAACTGGAAAGGATTACCCAGGACAGGATTGGCTAGTGAGTACTGATGGGCAGCCTATGCTCCTAGATGAAGGGTAACACTTATAAGTAAGTAAGTAAGTAAGTAA